CCGACACGTACAAAAAGAGTGAATGACAAAAGTTTCGTTCGTGTGAAATTCACAGCAAAGATCATTTTAACAAAGATGTTTGCCAATGGTTTGCCGTAATTATGATAGTAATCAGTGAGTGTTCAAGTGCATCTGCTGCAGACACGTATGCATCGATTCGATCTTGCAAACAGCCAGCTCGACCGCGCCGCGCCGCGCCGCTCGCATACGACGAAGCAGCCTGTTGTTCGTGGCGCGGCGTGTGACCGCGTCCGCTCGGTTACGCGCCTCTGCCTTTCTTCCTCGTTTCTTGCCGTCACGCGCCGGATGGTGAATCGATTTAACTCCGAATGTTTCTCGATAGCTGGACGCAACGAGGCAATCCGTGAATGTATTCTTTCTTCGACGTGATACAAACTTTTGTGTTTGCATTCGAGGATTCACACACGAGGATTATGTTCATAGATTGGTGAACGGGAATTGTAGAGTCTCGACGTTTAACTTTTGTATTCCATTCCAGTTTGTTGAGAACAGTGGATGTGACTCGAGAGATATATAGTAATGACAATTTTTCATGACACAGCTTATCCACAACATTATCCACAACCGTTTGTGATTCTATACTGGTGACATCTGACATTTTATCGCAAGTGGTTGGTTCGTGGTCAATAAGCTAGTTGCAAAGGCCGCCCGTAACTTGGACACGAAAATATTTGCACGTTATTTTGCTCGTATTTCCCTCGAATTGGACAAGGTAGAATAGAATGTCGAATCTTTGCTGCCACACGCGACAAATCAGAAACTACAACCAGCACGCAAGTACCTACGTAACAGAACTTGTTCGTCATTTTAATACTTTTTGTTAATATACGCGCGCATTGCGTAATCCTTATCAAATGATGAAATTCCTTCAATTTCTATCTCTCGCGATTGACCATACGAAAATACGCGACGGATAGCTCGATTGCTCTTTAACTTTACAAATCCATTGAATCCGTTTCTTTCGACTTGTTTCTCGATACCTGTCGCTCCACGATCAAAACGTTGCCGCTAAAATCGGCGAACACGTTGGCGCGATAGCTTTCGACGCTACGGATAAATTATCGATAAAATTGTCGTTCGTTAAACGCGCGGACAAACGTCGCTCATAAATCGGCGTTAGTATCAGATGCTTTCACTTTTAACGCGAGCGTTACGCGCTACACTCAGCATGATGGATGTAACGACGATAAATTATTCCGAATGTCGGCAGTAATCGCGTCGCGTCACATCCATTAAGAAGGATACTTACTTCGTCGGTCGGAAAACCATTTTTTTTCTTTCTTTTCAGACAAATTGCTCTATCTATAGATATACATACGCGTGCCTTACGTTACGATATATATACATCTACATATATCTATATACTTCCTTAACTCGAGATTTTTTTCCCCCCGAGTTTCGAGTCGAGGATGAAATTATCATTGGCATGGATAAATAGGGGGACAGAGATTTTCAAAAAAATTCTATCTCTGTGAAAAGTTGCAAATTTTCCAATCCAGAAATTTATTTATCGCTATTCGTCACTTTGTTGTACAATTTCGAGACGCATGTTTAAAGATTATCTCAGCAAGTTTACAACATTCGTTATTGGCAATCTGTGTCTGAGCTTTGCCGCTTGAAGGGCGGATTGTACGTTTAATTACAAGCACGTGTGCGGCGGTGTCGCGTAATTGCGAATAAAACGAGAGCGATGCATAATGAAGATCATTCAGGAATATGATGATTAATACCGTTATCCGTCGAGTAGCGAGTCGATTGCTCTGCCGGCTTTATAAATCGATCTCAGACAATTGCTAGTTTAGCACGTCGTTTCGTTGGAACGAGTTTCATTTCGCTTCGATTCCTCCTGTTTCGCGATCACGCATCAATCTGAGCGATCGATCGTACGATTTGAAACGTCAGTGGCACAAACACGCGGAGTATTCCTATCGAGGCATGAGCTTCGCTTCGAGCCGATCAAATTCTTGAAAAAAAAAAAAAAAAGAAAGGTTGCTGTCTCGAACGAGTTGGACGAGGGCGCGCGCGACTTTACTTCTTTATCTCCGATTTCTTCTCTCATTCAGTCTCGACAATGCCAGTCAATCGACAGACTTCTTGGACTACGATTCGCTTTCAGTGTAACTGCAAAATTAGACAATAGAAGCAAGACGTAATGCCATCATTTTCGTAATTCAAAGTTCGATTCTCTTCTGGAATGTTACCATCGTCGATGTCGCAAATCCGTAAAGTCGATAGTGTATGCCGGTAAAGGAATAGGTAAAGATGGTCGCGGAGTGAATCGTCAGATCGCGTCAATTTGAAGCTGCGCAGAGAGCGACGAGGGTCTCGTTAGCTAGGATCGTCTTCGTCGTTTACCTGAGCAACGTTGACTCGACGTGGGCGCGGACCACGCGTCGCTAATTACGAGCGATCTGGCCGCCAACTCGCGTGCAAATCCGAGCACGAAAGGGCAGAGAACGGAGAAAGTGAAGTTGGAGTAGAAATTGTTGGTCGCGGAGGAATTGATTTTACTCGTATAGGTCTATTATCGAGGATGACGTTCAAAGGAGAAGATTTGATTTAAAGAAAGAAAAGATCGATTTCATTCATATCTTTTGTGTCATCGGACTGTCACTTTTTTCAAAGGTTCGACAGAGCTTGGAGGAATGTAGTTGCGCGAGGATTTTATTGCATCGTTTTTATCAAGCATGCAGAACAGTAGAATCGAAGAGGCGCGAGAGCAATTGTTGCTGTTATTTCCAGAGATGCGAACGGTCGGTCTCGCATCGAGATCGCAATGTCGATGTTGGGAGGCCAACTGCTGGTCGCTGAATTTTCAGAGTCAGAGAGTCAGAGAGACGTCAGAGGGAAGCTTGGCGAAAGATTAGATGGAACACGCGACCGAGGAGGAAGAAAGTCAGCGTGCTGCGATCTCGGGAGGAAGTTGGAGTCGCCTCACCTTCGTAGGTTCTGGTTTTATCTTCGTCGGCCCCTACCAACACCGCCTCCTGAACCTCCACCACCTTCTCCGAGGTCCGCCCACAACGCGTGCTCCTTCGTTCCCTTCGCTCCATCTCCGCAAACTCCTACGCCACGTGCTGGAAATTCTCCGTCGGACTCTCCTGCATCTATCGCTCTAACGAGTCGCTCTTTGTTCACCACTTTGTTCGCAGCGGACCATTATCGTTGGCCAACGGTGGCCAATGATTATTGTCAGCTACTTGTTAA